AAAGAAAGAAAGAAGAGAAGAGAAAAAAGAAAAGAAAAGAAAAGAAAATTCTGCCAGGAATCTGAATGGGCTTGGAAGCTGATCCATCCCCAGAACCTCCAGAAAAAGCCCAGCCTGATGGAAACCTTGATTTGCCCCCTGGGAGACCCTGAGCAGGGAACCCTATTAAACCTACAAAGACTTCTGACCTACAGAACTGTGGGTGTTGTTTTAAGCCAGTGTGTTTGTGATCATTTGTTACTGAAGCAGGAAGTAACTAGAACAGGCAGTGTGCACATGGAGCAGGAGGAGAGGATGGAGATGGTTGTCTAGTCAGCCTGAAAACATAGTGTAGTCCAGTTGATCGTGGGGATGACTGGTGTCCTAGCTGATTCACCTCTACCTACCAGAGGTAGAGATAACAACATAACCTGTGAGATATGCATGTGAGCCATCAGAGTATAGCTATCTATACATAGAATTAAAGTTGTCTCTTTTTAGGAAGGAAGTATATAAGCAGTTGCTCTTATAAATCTGAACTTTTAAGTGATACTATTTTTAAAAAAGAATTTTTCCTCATCTAGAACTTTAGAAGTCAAAAAAACCTTAAGATCCATGCCCAAATAGTTTTGTTAATGGTGTTTTTACCTAACTCAGCAAACATAAAATTCCACATATCATATCTCATGCCAGGTATTTTCCAACTTTCTCAGTGATTTCTGTCGATTTAGTTTACTAATACTTACATTTTTCACCCAAAAACAACTATTCCTTTTTCCAAAAGACATCTGTCCTTATTCAACCAGTATTGATTAAATGACCCGATTAGAGGCCAAAACATTCTACTATTAATAGAAACTGATCAAAGATGAGCAAGATATAATCACTTCTTTCAAGGAGATTCAAGAGATCTAGTATGGAAAACAAAACAAGAAAATATCCACTTACGGAGCTGTCACAGGTCTAAAGAAGAAACCTAGAAACTGGAAACTGGGTGATAAATAGCTTGTGGAGGTTTAAAGTGTCACAGTGCAGACACAGAATGTGAAGTCTTGTCATAGCGGTATATTTGTTTAATTTTTTAGTTCACCTTTAAAACCTACCTCTAGATATACAAATCATAGAGAGATGTGATGAATAAATTCCATAACTGAAAAACACAGGTGAGGAAAATACCAAGTGTTATACTTTCATCTATACATAGCTCAGCCTAATCAAGAGAGAAAGCAGTCGGAAAGCATTTGATCTGTTTTTTTTTTTTTTCTTGATATTATTCTATAGCTAATGCAATGTTTTTGGAGCTGGGGTTTGTTTTTCTTACTTGTGTTATTACTTTATTAGTATAAATTTACACCTGTCACCACAGATTTACAGCAATGGATCTGCCTACCACAAACACTATAGGCTTCAAGGACACTCACTTAAGAGCTTGAAACACTTAAATTGCTTGAACACTTGCTAATATATTTCGGTTTTACTTATATAAAAACATAAATACCTAGAGTCCTGCTAGAAGAAAAAGTTATTTTGGTAATACTTCTGATTTTCCTCCTGATTTTTCTTCTGAGTTCCAAGGTTATTTTCATCTGTGAATCACTGCTTCCAATACCAAATAATTCCAGTATTAATGCTGCCCACATGGGGATATTGCAGGAAACAGGGCTAAATTTCACTCCCTACCATAGAGCAGTTCAAATACAAAAACATTTGTATGCTTTGAAGTCATACCCACTCAGTTTTTTTTTTTTTTGCAGCATTTTAATAATAAATGCACTAAAAAGGGGGAATTTAAGAGGGGGATTCATGTGCTTGGGATTGAGCTGTGACATTAACTGAAAATACGAAATGACTCCTACCCACAAAAAGTATTCAAGGTAGTTGACAGGAGAATAACACACTGAGTTTGACTGCAGGAACGGAAGGTAGTCTGTGCAGTCAAATTAGATGAGGATTCCACTCCTCATCTAATCCAGGACTTCATCATCTCTTGCCAGGACAACTGCAAGGGTCTCTCAACTGCCCTCCTGTCTACTAACACAAACACCTTTCAAATAATATCCCTGCCATATACAGTCTTAATCAAAATGCTTTGTTTTGGATTACGTTGCTTCCCTGATTAAAAGCATTTGATGGCATAGAAATGAATAAAATTCAAATTCAGTAAAGCTCTAAAGAAACCCATGTCCTGCCTTCTTCCCACCTCTCTGTCTCTAACCTCTTCTCTTTAGACCTCTAGCCCTGCCATTTTAATGCATGATCCCACTAACCTCAATTCTGTTGCCATTATGCAGCACACCTGGCTGTTTCATGCTCTCATCCTCCCAATGCCTTCCTGTTGCCTGGAATGTTTTCTCTTCTACTCCCACACACTCTTACCCCAGTCTCCACAGGTAGAAGAGACCATCTCCTCCTTTGTGTTGCCTCAGTATCCCCTATAGACGTCCCTCTATCAGACCTTTTTTAAGAGATCATGTCTCACTTTGTCATCCAGGCTGGAGGGCAGTGGTGCCATCATAGCTCACTGTAATCCCAAACTTCTGGGCTCAAGTGATCCTCACATCTCAGCCTCCTGAGTAGTTGGGACTACAGGCACACACCACCACTATGTCTGGCTAATTGTTTTATCTTTAAATTTTTTTGTAGAAACAAGGTCTCACTATGTTGTCCAGGCTGCTCTTGAACTCCTGGGCACAAGTGATCCTCTACTTCTGCCTCCTAAATTGCTAGGATTATATGCATGAACCACCACACCCAGGCACCATCAGATCTCTTATTATGGATTGGCAGATATGTTTCTTTTCAGGTCTATACTTTATATTAAACTACAATAAAGCAGAGGCTACATCTTCTTCTTTGTATTTCTCAGAATTGTCTTCAAGGCCATTAAACTATTGCTAGAAATAGAAAACTCATACATGAAGCAAGTACAAAACAAAGAAAAAGTATAAAAAGAAATGTTAAAGTAGATGTATCGTGCTGCGTCCACATTGAAAGTTCTGTAAAGTCACAAGGTATGCTAGACAGAGTTTAGTGTTAGACCTGAATTCACATCCTGACTCTTCCAGCTCCTAGCTGTATAAGCACACGTACCTCAGTTAATTTCCCAATAGTGCCTATCTCACCGAATAGCTGTGTAAACATTAGATGAGATGTGACCATCCATCACAGTAGTTGCTAAGAAAATATCTATTCTCGTGCCTATTCACTGAGAAGGGAGACTGATTATATGCACTAAATTACTCAAGTATAACTGCTTAAAGTAGGTGTGATTTGAGCTTGACTTTGAATAGCAAGAAGAATTTGGACAGATAGAGTTTTCTACAAAGTGCCATCCATATGGA